CCCCCATTTAGTGTCAAGACTGGGACGGGGCTAAGGGAGTGGGGGGGGGGGTCCAGGAGAGATTCACATCTTACAGGGGTCCTGAGTTGGCGGGGAGCACTCTCTAGAGCCACCTCCTCCCCCTGCCACGTTGCCCCACTGATGAGAGGGGGAGTGACGCCAAATGGGGAGCCCCAAGAGACCTAGCCCTGCTTTTGAGAGGCTCAGATCTAAGGGTGCCAGAGCGAGCAAGCTGTCCAGGTGCCCACAGCACAGTCTCAGGGCCCTCCCTCCCTCCTGCCAGGTGACAAAGGGCCCCAGAACCCAGGCAAGACAAAGTTAAAACAAAAATAAAAACAAAATAAGCCTGTGGATTTCCCAACCCCTGCAGCGATTTTCTGCCAGGTTGGGCAGGGGTTGTCTGGGGCAGGGGCTGTCTGAGGTGGGCGGCTCTCCTTAGGGCAGCTGGGGCCTGGCCAGCTTGTTGGGCCTTCGGCCCCTGCACCCACCCGCTAGCTCACCAGGAGGGTCATCGATTTGAAATGCCCAGCGCCAGCAACGCTCAGTCCCAGAAGTGAGCTTCTGGGTTCAAATTCTTGGTGTCGAGGTCTCCATTACCCACTGTGCTCCACAATGGGACTGGTCAGACCCTCCCGTGGCTACAGGCGGTACAGATGATCCCACAGCTCCTTCCTTCTGGGTGGGAGAAGGGGGCACCCAGGTAAGCCTCCAGCTCTGACCCTAGCTGCCTCTCAAACTGCGCTCCCAAGGCCCTCAATCCCAGACCCAACACAGTTCGCCCTAGGACAATCCAGGCGTCCGCTTTAACACGGGATGATGCTGCTGAAGTTCAAGTGAAAACCCGCATTGGCCAAAATGCTCCTGGGCTTTCTCAGCCACCACAGGGATGACAGCTTCAGACTTGGGTTTTCTCCTCCGGGTACCCCACCTCCAACCCCTGCTCCAGGCTCCGAGGTCAATCAGCAGGGAGACCTGGCGCTGGGGTGCGAGACACGCGGTGATCTCCAGACGCCTTAAACCCCAGGCACGGAGTCAGCGAGGAAATCAGTCAGGCGGGGGATGGCAAGAGAGGCCCGCGGTGCAAAGGAATGAGCCGGGTGTTCTAAGGGCTCAGGGTCTCCGCGCTTCCGTATCCTCTTCCCCTAACCCAGACAGTCCGGGTGAGACGCCGATGTGTTCACGAGGTCGCCCCAGTTGGAAAAGAGGAATCCGCAGCCGTCAGGGCCTCTGACTCAGAATCCGCCTCCCGCGAAATCGCATAGTCCTTTGCCGGGGACGCCGGGACCCCAGGTCGCTCAGGGCGCCCCGCATTCTAGCGCCTCGAGCTGTAGCCGGGCTCAGCTCAAGTTAGTCAGTTTGGCGTTGATGGGGAGCGCAAGACTCGAGAGCTGCCGAGGTGACCGCCTCTCAAAGGGAAGGTGTCTGCCAGGGGGCTGTCCAGGGGAGAGGCCACAGTCCTGGATCTGAGGGGGGTCTTGCTTGGTTATCCCGGGGCACTCTTCCCTGGCGGCCTCCGAACCCTGCTGCCGCCCTCTCTCCCCACTACATGGTGAGGCGGGGGTCTCCCCAAATGGGGTGAATGAAGATATCGGCCGGGTCAACCCCCCACCCGCCAGCACCGGCGCATAAAATCACAGGGGGCCGTTTCCAGACGCTCTCAAGTCCCCAAGAAGTTTTCCGCTCTATCTCCCAGCCGACCCAGGTATGGCGGAAAGGCGTTGACTGGCCCCGGAACCTCCGAGGTGCGACCCCAGCAAACCAAGTCCCCTCCTCACCTAAGGCGACGCGTTGGATAGGACCGCGGTGCCCCCCCATCTATCTGCCTCCGGCGTGTCTTGGGGAGTCCTGGACAGACTGGGGTTGGGGGAACCCACTTCACCACTCCCCTCCCCGGCTCAGGAAAGTCCGGGCTGGGAAGTACTCTTTGTCTGACTCGAAGCGGGGGGGTGGTCGCGCCCCCAGACACCCCATTCCCCGCGGCCAGGCCGGGAGGAGGCCGGTCCTAGATTCCTGGGGGGAGGGCGGGCCTTAGTAGCCTTTCCAGCCCCCCCAACCCCTGCCGACCTCCTCTGCCCGCCCCCCCGGCGCCGCGCCGTAGCCCCCACCTGTTCCCCAGGCAGCTCCGGGCCACGGGGGCCTGAGCCGGGGCGGGGTGGGTGTCGCGGCTGCGCTGGGTCAGGGCGCAGCAGCCGGCCCCGGCTGGAACAAAGTGCGCCGGCCTGGGCCCGGCTCCGCGGCGCGTCTCCCGCGGGCAGTTTGCAAACACAAAGTGAGCCAGTGAGCGGGCGAGAGAGTGCGCGAGCGAGGGAGTTGGTCTGGTCGCCGGCCCAGCCCCCACCCGCGTCCCCGAGCTCGGCCAGCCACCTACCTGTCCGGCCCGGCCGCTCCGTGCGGGCTCCGGCCCGTCAGCCCGCGCGGGGCATGGGGCTCGCTCCGGTCGCCGCCCGGGCCCGCCGCCGCCCGCTGGGACTGCCCCTCCGCGCCGCTCGGCGCCGCGCAGCTCCCGGGCGTCCTCCCTCCGCGCCGCGCCGGCCGGCCGCCGCACGCCCTACCCTCGCCGGGGCATCGCACTTTGGGGGCAGCTCGGCTTGCTCCGGCTGTGCTCCTCCTTCCCGATCCTCCCGCGACGCTTGTTCGCTGGCTCAGGCGCCGGGGCTCCGGGACCCCGGCGTCCCCGCCCCCGGCCCAGCCCTGGTTCCGGCCCGGGCTCCTCCCCGCTGCGCCGCCGCCGCCTGCGCCGCGCCCTCCTCGCGGGCTGGGGGCTACGTCCCGGCCGCCGGCCGCACAGTCCGCTCCGCAGGGGCGGCCGGCTCCGGACTCCGAGGGGCTGCGACTGAGCCCGGGCAGCGAGTGGCTGCGAGCGGGCGGCGCGCGGGCGGGGCGGGAGGGGGCGGGGAGGAGGGGGAAGGAGGGAGCGCGCGGAGAGCGAAGGAGGAGGGAGCGAGCGAGCGAGCAGCGGAGGGAGGGAGACCAACTTCTAGCGCTACCATAATTCACCTAAAGCAGGTGCAGCAACTTTCATCCTGCCCGGCAGCCAAGTCGTGAGCGAGAGGAGACCACGTGGACCAAACTTTAGGGGAAGAAAAGGTGGGGATCTGGGGAGAAGACGTAGGGCTGCGATCCTGTAAAAAGGAGGGGGGGGAGGTGGAGAGACCCCAGGGATTCACACTGGCCTTGCGAATCCCTTGGCGCGCTTTGCAAACTCCGGCTTTTCCCTGGAGTCTGGAGGTACGGCCAAGCCCTGCTCCCACACGGTTCATTGGTTCCCGGCGGGCTGCGCCCTATGCCGGGAGTGGCCGGGGGGCCCAGAGCCCGGAGCCGGTGTCCTTCCTCCTCTCCCTTCTACGCCCCACTGCGTGGGGCTGGGGGTGGGCTTTTGAACCGGGGGGTGGGGGAGGTGGGGAGGCTCCTTCTGGGCTTTGTGAACAGTCACCCCGGGCGCGCGCCGCCTCCCTCTCCGGAAGGGGAATTTCCCATAAAGTGATCTGCGAACCGGTGAAGAAAGGGCCCAAAGCCGGACCCACGCGGGCAGAGCGGAGTGCAAAGTAGAAGCAATTATCCGGACAAATTAGATTGTAAACAAAACTCAACGTCTTTTGCCTGAGGGCGGGGTAGGGTGCGGGGAGGAATCGGAGGGATTGTGGCGGTAGCCAAGGTGTGTATTTGGGTTGGGAGGGGGACGTCTGGATGAAGAAAGGCCCCAGATCCAAGGGGGAGGGCTGTGCTGGTAGCAGGCGCCCCACTCAGAGACCCGTGGAAACCTGGATAAGTCCTTCCCCCGCCTTCCACCCCCAAAACATCTCCGGTCTGGCTCTGTGTGTTGCAGTGGGGAGGGGTGAGGGACACCTCAGGGGTTGTCAAGGAGTGCCCGTGACCAAGGGAGGACCCAGCTGTGGGGGGAGGGCAGGAAGGCCGTGGCTCTAGAAGGCTCTCCTCCCCCAAATCACCCGAGGCAGGTGGAGACGGGCAGACACAGGATGATCCTGTGGAATGTGAGCTGGGGGTGCTTCAGGGATTGGAGCTTAGGATATGCCAGGGCTGTGGCCTGGGGAGAGAGGATTTCTTGGAGGAGAAGCCTCTCCAATGGGGCTTGGAAGAAAGAGAGGAGGCTCCCCCTTGGGTTCTCCATCCCTTATTCCATCCCTTTTCTGTAGGTACAAATAGCCAGAAGGAGCTGTAATGTCAATGCTATCTGTCCAGGTCTAGATCCTATGTATTGCCCTACACAGGGCAGGTGTGACAGGCATATTCAGCTTCTGCTGGAGTATTTCAAATAGCTAGGTGTGAAATTGTTGGGAGGAGGACCCTAAGCACCATTTATGTGGATACCACAGGGTCCTTTCCAGTGTAGCCAGAGCAGAAGCAATAAGAATAAAATAACCACAGCTAACCTTTGAGTCGTACCACATGCCAGGCATAGGACTCACTTCATCTTCACAATAACCCTAAGTAGATAGTCCTATTACCTCCGTTTTACAAAAAGGTTAAGTCACTGTCCAGGCTTACCCGGCTGGTAAGTGATGAAGCAGGATTTCAACCAGAGCTATTTCTGTGAGGCCTTTAAAGCAGCACTGCCTGCTTGTGGGTTACCCGAGGAGTATAGTTTGGGAGAAAGGAAGCCTTTGGTGTTGTGACTCTATTTATTTTCTATGGAGAGTCAGCGCTGGTGGGAGTCAGGGTGTGTGGACAGGCCTGGGCCTGGCCTGGAGTTAGCAGGTTCTTGTGTAAGCCCAGCTGGATTATGACCACGCCATGCCCCTCGGGTCTCCTTTCCATCCATCCTACAGAGGCTTCAGGTCAGGTGAGAGCTAGGGACTTTCAATACAAAAGAAGGAATGAGGTGACCTCCAGTGGGCTTCTCTGGCTGGCTGTCATGCCCACTGCATCCTTTCCCATCACCTTCCTGCGGCAGCCCTCCATACCTCACACGTGGATTCACGTGCCCAAAGGGATTTCCCTAGGAAATGCTTTGGCTTTCATTTCAGTTTACCCTCATCTCCAGGCCAGTTCAGTTCCCAGCACCCTGTGAGTCACAGTGGGGGGCCCAAGGGAGGCAAAAGATCCTGTCTGGGCCTCACCTAAAGGGCATTTTAATGAGGAAACAAAGCCTCAACGGGGAGAAGTCTCACAAACAGAATGTTGAGCATAAAACCAAAGAAAGATACAGAACACACACCGCAAAATTAAAGCAGCCAGTCCAAAGCCCTTCCTTCTGATGCAAGACCTATAGGAGAAGGTTCAAAAAAGTGGCCCTTGGCTCCTGAACCAGAGTGCCTGGGAACAGGCAGGAGGGTCCTCTTTCTGCCCTTGTTTCTTCAAAAGTCTAGGCTGTGGTGTGGCAAGAACCGGGACCCATGGCCTGTCCTACTATGGAGGCCATGGTTAAGAGCACAGAGACTGGAGTGAGACAGCCTAGGGTCGAACTTCAGTGTCTGTCACTTACTAACTGTGTGATCCAGGCAAGTTACAGGATGGAGCCAGTTTCCTCATCCACGACATTGGGAGAATGCCTCCTGGGGGGTTGGAAGGGTAACATGAAAAAGCCTGGGCGAAGCATCTAGCTCTGTGACCTGTTCATCAGATACTTTCCATAAACACTCATTTTCCGTTTTGTGAGCTCCAGTTTCCTCACCTAAAAATGAGAATACTGACTTCACAAAACTGCAAATCATACATACATCTGCAGTTGATACTTAGTAAGTGCCTGCTGTGTGTCAGGCACTTGATTCACGTGCTATTTGGCTGCATCGCCCCTGGCATAGTGGCTTTTCTCATTTTACAGTGAGGTACTCAAGCTCAGAGAGGTAAGGCAACTTGCCCCAGGTCACACAGCTAGAAGATGGTACAAGCAAGGACTAACTCACAGGTCTTCCTGCTCTGAAGAGTTGCCCTTTCCCAGGGTCAGCTGCCTCCCTGTTGTGGGGATGCAGTGGGTTAGTGGGTAGGCTTGTTCTTAGTACCAGGCCTGGCACTGGGTGTGTGTGTATGTCCAGAAACATTAGTCAGTCCTTTTATTCCCACAGTCCCAACACATCTAGACCCAGGTATTTTATGTTTCCAGTCATCCGATTGCTTGAATTTTACTTCTTTTCCCTCTTCAAAACCTTTTTTTAAGGGAATTCCCTGGTGGTCCAGTGGTTAAGACTCAGTGCTTTCACTGCCATGGGCCCCGTTCCATCCCTGGTCGGGAAACTAAGATTCCACAAGCCACGTGGCATGGCCAAAAAAAAAAAAAGTCAAAAAAACCAAACCGTTTTTTAGTTAATTAAGGAATAAAACTTTACCAGCATGATGTAGTGTCTCAACACCTAAGTATATACTAACAGAAATGCATAATGTGTTCACCAAAAGACAGACACTAGAGTGGTCTTAGCGGCCGTTCCACAAATAGCCATCAACAGTGGAATGGGTGAATAAATGCTGGTATTCTCATGCATGGGCTAGTACTTGGTAATGAGAATGAACAGGCCATTGCCACACACAGCAACAGGGAGAAGTCTCACAAACAGAATGTTGAGCATAAAAGCCAGTCGTGAGAGAGAAAGTCCACCTATATCTGAAATTCAAAAATTGGTCAAACAAAATCGAGGTGTTAGAACTCAGGAGAGTGGCTACTCTAGGCAGGCGAGTAAGTAGGGGTTCCTGGGGGACTGGGAATATTCTGTATTTTTTGAATTTGGGATTTGGTTACATGGGTGTGTTCACTTTGTGACAATTGAGCCGGCATACACTTATGATCTGTGCACCTTTCTTTATGCTTTAAAAAAAAAAGCCTACAAATTGTTGCTGATAAAGTTAAGAACCTTCCATATCCTTCCCTCCCTTTCTCCATCCTTCCTTTGCCAGAGGTAGCCAGTTTCCAGAAGCTGGGAGGTAGCCTTCCCAAGTAAGTTTTACGCTCTTAAACATTTAGTGTGGCTTGGGTGTCTCGAAATTTTAAATAAAAACTATCCTTCTGCTCCTTGCTTTTACTATTTATTGGTGGTATCATTTACTAAATTTCACGTTGCTGAGATTAATCAGGTTTGCTATGTGCATCTCTAGGTCATTAATTGAAAAGGCTTGCGTTCTATCACATCAGTTCACTGCCATTTCTTTACCCAGCCTCCCAGTGATGGACGGTTGGGTTGTTTCCAACGTTTGGCTGTTGTGGTCACACTGCAGTGGGCTTCCTCCTGAGCAGCGTCTCTCCACCCAGCCACCCAGGGCTTTCTGCTTCTCTCTCCTCCTTTGCCTCCTGATGAGCAAGCTGACCCCCTTTCCTTTTGTGGTTCCTCCACTCTGGCATCTTCTCCCCTCCGCATCTCCCAGCTGCCCCTCCCCACCCTGCTTCCCAACCTTTCTGACTCAGAAAGACCGAGGATCTGTGCTGGGTGGAGGTGGGGGAGGGATGGAAGGGGGTAGCCTCTTTCTTTGCCACAAAGGCCCCTGTTCTCCAAGATAAATGACGATTTTAACAAAGAAATATTTCATTAAGGGTTGGTATCTTAATGAACTGTGCCAGGAACCTCCAAGGCACTCTCCAGACTCTCCCCCTTTTTAAGGGGGGCTCCTACTCTTGAGGGGAGGCTTATCAGTTTACCATATTGCCCTGAGTAGAGGACCATACAGTGTGGAGAGCTGTGCCTGGGGGCTGTGGAGGAGGGGAGGGCACCCAGGCCTGGGGGTGGGGCCTGGTTACCCCTCTTGGTGGCAGGTGCTGGACCCTGGGAGATGTTTACAGACCTCACTTTTAGGGCCTCAGAGACTCAGGCCTTGTCCACGGGGTGGTGGGCATGGGACTCCAGGCTGATTGGTGGAAAATCATTCATTAAAGATCGGGAAATGAACAATAACCTGACAAGCAGTGAACAATTTTCCATCAATTAGAACACAGTGTCTTTGGGTGAAATGAGACCCCCTCCGTGGAGGGATTTCCGAGCAAGGAGAGAGCAGGACACAGGCAGGGATGGGCCAAGAGAGCAGACTCGGCACCCTTTCCCTATCCCATGCATCACACCCAGCCATTCACCAAGGGGGCAGGGGGAGGCCGTGCCCAGGGACAA